GGAAAGAGAAAGAATGGAAAGTTTAGGTTTCTCCTTTCCCCTCAAACAAACTCTTTTCGGCTAGTGTTTTGGATATACTTACAGCTAAGTCTACCTGTTACAATGTGCTCATTCTTTCTAAGAACTTCTGTTCCTGCATTAGAAACAGGAAAATAGAATGACAAAATGGAGAGTTTTTCCCAGCCTCCTTTTCCTAGATGAAAGTAACTGGTTCAAGCTCTATGGATGGATAGAGATAAGTAGAAAGAGGTATACTTACCCAAATTGCAAAGACTGATCTCACAATCACAATCTTATGCCACTTGAACTGTCTGATGTATAGGTCTGTGGAAGTCTGAAGTTGTTTACTAGACATCTGGTATGTTACCAAGACCCTAGCTAGATAAAAGTATAAAATCAGTAAAAGTGACATCCTAAATACAATGAAATAAGAATTTTCTACCATCTACCTCGCCCTAAAGAACAGCACTTCTGACAATCACCCGTGGATGAGAGGACTTTTGTAGAAGTTTAGATAACCAGTGGAGAAATTCACAACTTTGGACCAATTACGATTCAGCAATTCTAGTCATATTCACAAAAAAAACTTATGTAAGAATGTTCTTAACAGCCTTATTCATAATATTCCTAAATTGAGAAAGAAAACATATATTCACCAATGGAAAAATAGATAAGCAAGTTTTGGTATAAAATTGAATATCACTCCACAATAAAATAGAACAATGATTGATAAATGCAACAACATGAATGAATCTCAAAACATCAGGTTGAGTGAAGAAAGCCAATACACAAGGTACATGTTACATGATTCTTTTAAAACAAAATTCTGGAAGAGACAAATTAATCTATAGTGATAGAAATCAGAACAGCAGTTGTCTCTGGTGGAAGGGGTGGACTGGAAGGGGGCATGAAGAAAACTTACGGGGTTCTGGAATGTCCTTTATCTTAAATTGAGTGATGGTTATATGAATATATACATCTGTCCAATTAATTTTACACTTAAGATCTGATTTTGACTGTGTATAAATTATATCTCAATAGAAAGAAGGGAAAATGGGGATTAGAGAAAACAAAAGAAAAATATGTGTATTCACGTAACTTATAACTAAATTCCGGATAATATCAACATGATGGAGGTGATGCATGGGGTAAGATTAAGGAATGTGAGAGTATACTAAAGTACTTGTATTGTTCAGGGGAATATATATAGATATCAATAAACTTAAGAAAACAGGTAAGTAAACATAAGTATAAGTAACCAATATGACTAAAAATAAAATGTAAAATGTTCAAATCATCAGAAAAAAATTGATTCATCTATTGGAAAGTAAAAAAAAGCAAGTACAATAAATGGAAAATTTGAAATAAGTTGGAAGAAACAAGTCCTAATTTATTCAATGCCATTGAAATAAATGTAAATAGGTTAAAACTCACCCATTAAATGACAGTGGAGTGCAATATATTCTATCAGTGGACATCTCACTATACTAGAAAACATGAAAGAGAGGGGACTGGGCATACCACACCCATTCTCTCCTAAACTAAAATGTGTGCTTTCATGGAGGAATTATGTTTCTTCTCCTTTGAGACTGTACCCCAGAGAAAGGCATGATTAAGTGAGGCAAAAACAGGCATATTCCTGGGTACTGCTTTGGTGCCCGGTGCCATCTTTAAGTAGGACAGGGGCTAAAGAAGGACTAGGTGGCCCAAGAGCAAAGCTGAGAGAGGGCTCAGAGGACTTCTTATATGGGGCCATGGGCTTGGGAGTTCTTTCAGGTTGTCAAGAGTCATAGAGAGATGTATCCTCTGGAAACCTGACCTGGAGCTTGAGAAGCAGGACTTTCACTGTCCATCATGAGTCCTGGGAATGTCAAAGAGCTAATACTGCCTGACTCAGTGGCAACCTGGCTGTTGGTGAAGATGGGGGACTATGAAGCTGAGGATAAACTGAAACTCCTCTCGACCTTCTGCATTAATTTCTGCCTATTCTCTAATCCAGAGCATCAAAGAGCCCTTGGCCAGATATCAGTATAGCAAATGAACAGTGTAAATAATCTTGTTGTAATTTTCCATATTATTGTCTCTAACTGTGTCCATGTAGGAATCGAGTAAGTATATGATATGCAAGTGTAATTAAAATGATAAGGCACCATAAAAACATGAAGCAATAACAATTTCAGGAATGCAGTAATAGCAACACAGGACACCTGGGCAAATTTTTAGCTTCCACCTAGATGAGGATGGGAGACAGGGAGAAGTGTGTGAAAGAGATTCAGTCACCCAACTGATATTAGTAAACTCTGGATACACTCCTATTTTATCCCTTTCCTTGAAATGCAGAAATCTTAACCCTCCTCATTCTACTCACTAACCTCACCTCTTTCAAGCACCTATAAATTCCACCCTGTTTCTTTGTACCTATTCCTTGTACCTGTTCCTTGGACAGACTTTCTTAAAATCTAAAAGCCACCAACACTGCTATAATAAATTCAGCCATCCTACACTGTCAGGCATTTGCTTCCAACATAATTACCACATCATGCTTATTCAACATCTTAAACCTAAGGCAAGTAATAATAAGAATTTGGGACAGAGCCAGTGATCTCTTCTCTGACTTCATAAAGCAGCTGTTGCCTACTTTCTTATTCTTCCCCCACCAGTCCCTCCTTTAGTATGAAACTTATGTCCTCCTCAGCACTTACTTCTTGGGGCTGATAGAAGACCCAATAGTCCAAACCATTCTCCCTTAGAAATTCAGATATCCTACTACTCAGTTGACCTTTTTCCACCTGGCTCTTGCCAGGACCTAGGCAGATATGTTCAGCTAGAGCAGAGCAAGAAGAGGAAGCAATCTATCTAATTACAAATGATGGCCAGGTCAGAGTCAAGTTGACATCACAACTCAAACCCCAAAAAGGTGCCAGCAAAGCCATCTCAGAGAAGCTTGTTCAGTTGATGGATGAACAAGTCACTACTACACACAGACCTGAACTTACTGTTGAAGTTCGGATAGTAATCAGTGTACATGGTTCTCCGGCCAGCAATGTATTCAGGACTATCTAGATGACTGCCTTACATCAGGAAGTGGTCAATAGAGGCAAAAAGAGAAGTGGGAACCATAGTGGCTGGGTGCCCTGCCATCACTCAATGTCCCTCCTTCTCCCCTTTAGCCCAGTTTATGAATAAAAATGAATATGCAGGGAAACCACAAAGTGGGCTCCAGGACTACTTTAGCTATCATCCTGGCTCTGTTCAGTTGGACACTGGCTACCAGCTTTTGGGAGGTGAACATGCAGTATCCTATCCTAGAGATAGTCTGCATCTTCTAGAAATAAAAGATTCATTTCACTCCTCTCTCAACTATAAATCTACTCCCAGTTCCACTCCAAGGTTACCAGTGCTAATTGTCGTCTTTGAGGTTTCTTTCTCCATTATCTTTCTTAAGTTCTCAGCAGTATTTTAAACTATTGGTCACTTTATCCTCCCTGAAACTCTATCTAATCCTGGCTGTTTTGACTACCTGAGTCTCTCGTCATCCTGACCACTCAGACACTGACTCATACCCTCGTCTGTGGACATTACCTAATGTCTTATTAGTTAAGCCCTGCACACATCCCTTTCTCAAAATCAAGCACAATACCTGTGCCCTTCTTTGTATTCTACACAACATTAAGGACAGTAATTTGCTCAGATTGTTATTTTAATCCATACTAGTTGCTTGACAAATAAACTAAATGCCCTGTTCCCTAAAACTGAGCTCACCCATGTTTACAGTCCCCTGTTCTCATTTCCTTTCTGAAACTTATGCCTTCTTACCTCATAGCAAGATACCTCTCAATTCTTCTTGTTCTTTCTCTCCTTTCTCTATAAAGTCCCCAAAGTCTTGTTTCCTGTCTCATAGCAACTCACTGGGCAACATCCTGCTGATGCTTCAACTACTGCCAAAGTACAGCATCTGCAAACACGTGGATGACATGGCCAGTCAGATACCCAGAATGAGGTCCAGTGTGGGGAAAAGGCAGCTGCAGTAAGAGAGAATCACTTTTCTAAGCAGAATAAACGTAGAGGCAGAGAACACAATGACAAAGAAGAAATGGAATAAAGCTGTAGACAAGAGGAGGTTAATCTCTGTAGAACAGTATGGTCTAAAGCCCCAGACGAAGACTAATAACTTCCTCTTTCCACTCACTAGAAAACCTTTTCTACTGACATCTGTAGAACAAAGCAATGTCCTGGAGAAAGGGCCATGTGTATCCCCTTTCTGGAGAACGAGGCTTGAAGTCCATACCTAAGCAGATGAGGGAAATGAGTAGGGAATGGTATATTGCATTCTTGCTTGAAGACTGAGTGATTTTTTTTCCTGAGTCTGAATTGTCATTGTCTTCTTCATAGCACTGAGCACTAAGAGAAGACAGGAGGCTCAAGCTGGGGGCTGGGAGAAGAATTCCAAATGGCATGACTGTAGGAAATAAGTGAAAGGTTGGGGAAAAGAGAAAATTTGAAACCCAGAGTTTACATAGGAAAACATTATTTCTATTCTATTTCCAAAATATATTATACATTTTTTAAAATTTATTTATTTTTATGGTGACATTGGTTAATGAAATCCAGTAAGTTTCAGCTGTACATTTTAACTGTAAGGCATATATATATCTACATTGTGTGGTTCACCTCCCATAGTTAGATTTCTTTCTGTCACCACATATTTGACCCCTTTTACCCCATCTACCTCCTCCCTCCCTCCTCCCCCATGCCCTCTAGTAACCACTAGTCTGTAGTCCATATCCATGAGTCTCTGTTTGTTTGTCCTGTTCATTTGTTGCTTTTAGGTTTATATCCCACATATAAGTGATATCGTGTGGTTTTCAACTTTTTCTGTTTGGCTTATTTCACTTGGTATGATTATCTCGAAGTCCATCCATGTTGCTGCAAATAGTAGTATTTCATCTCTTCTTATGGCTGAGTAATATTCCATTGTATATATGTACCACAACTTCTTTAGCCAGTCATCTATTGTAGGATACTTTAGTTGCTTCCATATCCTGGCCACTGTGAATAATGCTGCTATGAACATCGGTGTGCAAATATCTTTTCGAATATGAATTTTCAAGTCTTTGGGGTAAATACCCAGTAGAGGGATTGCTGGATCATATGGTAGATCAATTCTTAGTTTTTTGAGACACCTCCATTCTGTTTTCCATAGTGGCTGTACCAATTTGCAGTCCCACCAGCAGTATATGAGGGTTCCTTTTTCTCCGCATCCTCTTCAATATTTGTTATTACTTGACCTGTTGATTACAGCTATTTTATCAGGTGTGTGGTTTTGATTTGTGTTTCCCTAATAGCTAAGTGATG